TAACTACCAGAATGGGTGGTAAGAGGAGAATTTATACTGAATTGTCTCAGGCATTTTGTTAGCACAATTCTGTCAAATGCACAAATCTGAAAGGATGTTGGTGTGACTGCAGGTTATGAGCACAACAGAAGTTACTGCCCTGACTCTAACAAGTAACAGAGAGCTTGCATAGGGTCAGGAGATTGTCTTAAATATATCCCAGAGGTGGCTGAAGCTGGCATGAGGAGGCGCGCACTAAAGCAGTGAGGGACCCTCAGAATAGTCTGTCTTCCTCAATACAATGAGAGTAAAAATCTTCAGCAGCAAACAAAGCACCCTAGGAAAGCTACAACAGCAGTTTCTGCCATGAACATCTAACTACAACCTTAGCTGTCTCACACTTAATGAGAAGGAGATATCAGATTTCTATTTAGGAAGGGCCTAGAAAGGCTAGGATTTGTAGCAGTACCCTAAGACCCAGGATTTTAGCTCTGAAGCCATTTATTTCAGAGTTTACTATAAGAACTGAGCCATATGGACTTCACCAGAGAAAATAATCATGAGGATCATCAATGATAAGTATCAAGGGATGTAAATCTGTTTCAGGGAGCAAGGTAGCATAGGTAACTGTCACTATTTCTCCTTTTCTCGCTTGGTAGTGACAAGGAAAATGTTCGCAATGTTCTATCTAAAGATTTTTCTCACCATGGAACCAATTCAAGCTATTTCTGACCAAGAGTACCATTCTACAAATAGCTTTTTATTGTATTTGACACTGTGGGTCAAATTCTTACTTCCTTTGTACAGAAAGACCAATTACTGTGCTGAGTGGAGTATGCATTAAGAATTTGCTGAGTTGGTAAAGTTGGTAGACACTGCAGACTGGTGTGGCTGGGGAAGATACTGATGTACCATTTTCTCTCAGAAGTGTCAATATTCTGCTTTGCCTTTGAATTTGAAAACAAATACTTCGGTGGGGAGAAATAGCAACCCTGTTTACCTCTCACAAGACTTATTTATCCTTGGAATACAGGAAACTCCACAGAAGAACAAGCCAAGAAAGCATCCTTACACCTGCCTTGTAGTCTTTCTGTCTTGACGTTGAGCCTATTATCAAATCTGGGCCTGATGATCTCAGTCAACCCAGAGTCTTAACATCCATCTGTTAACACTAAAGCCAATCTGCCTGGCTCAGTTATTAGGATTAGGGAAAAATGTCTTGTGACTTTAAATTATGTTCTCAACTTAGTTGTCATGGGCCCTGGCATAAACCATAGCATGCCTTGCCCTTTCCCTCTCCTCCCACGCTAACCATTGAGTTAGCCACATACTGGGACATTTCTGTCATCTTATCCACTCAGTAGCTGCCTTGCTGTTTGCTGGATAAAGCAGAGCATTAATTATAGGCTTTACTATCTTTGCCAGTTTTACTGGTAGCAGTAAGGAAGGTTATGAGCCAACTTGCTGCAAACAGTGAGCACAAACTAGTCCTTCATTTCAATTAACAGTGTTTCTGTAGTGAAAAGCTAAGAGTTAAAGTTGACTTGAGACACTAGTCAAAATTCCAAATATGTACCTCTGTGTGGTTTAACTCTACCCAGGAAATAAGCACCACAGTTTCTATCTCTCACTCCACATGTCCCCAGTGGGATGAGGGAGAGAATCAGAAGGGTAAAAGTGAGAAAACTTGCGAGTTGAGATAAAATAAGTTTAGTAATTAAAAACAAAAATTAAATTGTAATAAAAATGAAAATAACAAATGGGTAAATAAAAGCCAAGAAAGACAAGTGAAGCAAATTAAAACAATTTCTCACCAGCAAGTGACTGATGGCCAGCCAGTCCCCCAGCTGTGCCCCTGCACCAACATTCCCACAGTTTTATTGCTGACCATAATGCCTTAAGGTATGGAATATCCCCTGGGTCAGTGGGGTCAGATGTCCAGGCTGTGTCCTCTCCCAACTTCTTGTGCACCTTCCTCCTGGCTGCTGAGGTGGGCTGAGAGGCAGAAAAGGCTTTGACTCAGTGTAAGCACTGGTTACTAGTAACTAAAGCATGCCTGTGTTATCAACACTGTTTTCAAAACAAATCCAAAACACAGCCCCTTGCCAGCTATGAGGAAGAAAATTAACTCTATCCCAGCCAAATCCAGGACATAAATGCATGTGCTATATAAAACACAAGGACATTGATCTTCTTAATTGAGCAGAACAAATTTAAAGGCTGTACAATTATTTTTCTGGATGACATTGGGGACACCAGAAAGTGAGAAAAGAGTGTCATTTCTCTGTGGAGAAAATCTCTGCAGTAGGTAATCTACTTCAAAATCCATATAGTGGCCTATAGCTTCAGTGCCTCTGATCAGGAAAGAATTGAAACCAAAAAGAATGGGGGGTGCTAAGTACTGCAGTGTCTAACTTATTCTTGGCTTTTGGACCAGAATCTCAAAGCATGTCCTTGATGCCTCAGTTATATATGACAGATGTACATCTCTGATATGGTAGATAGATAGATAGATAGATAGATAGATAGATAGATAGATAGATAGAGCAAGCTATGCACTTAAGAATGGGTTCCAAAACAGCTGGTGGGCTTATGAGAGAAGGATACTGCTATTGCTGAAAAAAAAAAAAAAATGTTTTAAAGCCATCCCTTTCTGGAATCCTCTTTCTCACTCCATGATTTAGGTGGAGATACTTTTAGGCTGAGAGTCTTTTCCCCCTGAAGTTATCTTTTATATCAGTATTTATAAACTACCTCACTTGGTGAGGCTGGCCCCTTTCCCTCTCTGTGCAAGCTAGAAACCAGGCCACTGAGCAGCACAGGTTTCTACAAGTGCCAGTCCACAGAGACACAAATTGGACCCTGAATCACTGGCCCTGGTGTTTTTGCAAATACTCTTTGTGCAGTTTTAGCTGGTTAATTAATAAAAGATGTCAGTAGCCATCACAGCAAAAACTCATGTTTTCCCCATATTTCAGATGGCGTCTAAGAAAAAAATTGACATACAAAATATAATACATTATGTCCTTGGAAGTCGTAACAGGCCTGTACAAAGCAGCCCATCTTTGTACCATCACAGTCTTCTCCAAAGCCCTTTTGAGCTTCTTTCAGACTGTCATTGCCATGTGACATGCACAAAGTGGGGCAAAGTAGTGCAAATACAGTTACTTAAAACATCGTCTTCTTTATAGAAGCTACTGGATTAGGCTGTTGGACTTAATCCCATTTAATGTCTCTGAAGGCCAGGCTGACAGGTGCTCTGCATCGCTGCGAGCAAGCGCTCCCTCTCCAGCCTTGTGTACACAAGTTCTACACACTTGGCACTTGTGTAGCCAAACTCTGTTCCCTGCTTAGAGCCCTTGATTTTACAGCAGAGGTTAATGGGACCTACAGTGGGCTTTGGTCTACCCGAATACAACATCCGTTCTGTGTAGGTCACTGCGTGTGCTAAAGGTTATCTGCAGGAAGGGGGGCTCTGTCTTCGTGATGGGCAAGGCTGGCGTTAGTGAGCTCTTGCCTCAGAGATGACTGCCGGTGTTTTGCCCTCCGTGCTTCCTGCTGGGTGAGGCAGTGGTGGCACGTAGCTCCTGTGACAGGAAGAGGTGATGACCCTGACAGGTACCCACCTGGCCCGGTGGGTGCGTGAAGCTGCCAGTGCATGAGGTCAATACAGCAATAAGCAAAGCATTTCTAATGACAGTGCTGCACTGCCCCGAGCTGCGTTCCTCAGCGGGGGCTCAGCAGGCGTCCGGACACCACAGCGAGCCGGGTGACTAAACTCAGCACGGTGCCCAGTGGCTCCCCTGAAGCTGCGGCGGCGGGGCCGGGCACTGGGGAGCCAAGATGGCGCGTGGAGGGGCGCCTGACTATTCCACATCGATAGGGTAAGGAAACCAAGGCAAGAACATTGTTAAAGGCGTGCACGCACAGCCTGAGGCGCTGCGGGGCACAGCCCCTTTCCCCCCAAGCCCGGGCTGTGCGGGGTTCGTGCTCCCGTCCCCGAGGCCGCCCGGGGGCGGGGCTGGCCCGGACAGACGGGGCCCTTCCGTAAACAGCCCCTGGCCCGCCCCCGGCCTATCCCCGTGCGCCAGCACAGCCCATTGCCAGCGCGGGGGAGTCCGTCAAAGCATCTGCCCGTGTCGCCGCGTATTTCTCCATGCTTAGTGCCCGGTCGCAGGCAGAATGAGGAGATGCGGTAGTTTCTACTGGCATAAGTGGAGGCTGGCCCAAGCGCCTCGGATAACTCACCGCTGGCAGGCAGGAAAAGATGACGCGGCTCCCCCCTTCCGCCGTCAGAGATGGACGTGCCCGAGGAAGACACTAAATAGTCCGGGCTGGGTCTTTAAATCTGAGGGGGGGTTCTGTGCGGTGCCGGGGAGCGCCGCGTAGGACGGCGAGGGACAGCGGTGAGTGACCGGCGGGGGACAGCGGGGCAGGACGGCGAGGGGCAGCGGTGAGTGACCGGCGGGGGACAGCGGGGCAGGACGGCGAGGGGCAGCGGTGAGTGACCGGCGGGGGACAGCGGGGCAGGGCTGCTCCGGCCGGCCGGCGGAGCTGACACGCGGCGGGGTGTCCGGGCATGCTGGGCGATGAGTCGCTGGGTGAGTCCGGGACAGCGCTGGCTCGGGGGCTGCCACCCTCCTGTGCGGTGTGGGTGGCAGGGAGGTGGTGGACTGGCCCGTCGCCCTGCTGCCCGGGTGGAGCACCCGCTGCAGCAGGTGGGTTTCGTAGTTCCTGCGCTGGGTCCGTAGTTCTCCCCTTGCCCCGTGTTTCCGGGGCTTTCCCATCCCTTGGTGTCCGCCGGGACCATCCGCCCGACGGGCGCAGCCGCAGGGTCCCCCCGTGCAGCCCCGGCCGGCAGGGCAGGGGCACCCCGAGCCCTCCCCGGGCCGTGCGGGCCGGGGCGCCGAGGGGCGGGTGCCCGGGCTCGCCTTCTCGGGGGCTGACACGGAGTGTTCCCTCCTTGCTTCTCCCCCGGACTCCCTCCCCCCGGGCCCGTCCTTGGAAACGCTGTTTGTTTTGGTCGGCGGGTGCCAAACTCCTGCCTTTGCTAAGTGTTACAAACATGGGGCCGGGGGAGGAGACAGGCGGCGAAACAGATGGAGGAAGAGGAGGAGCCGCCGGCTCCCCTCGGTGTCGCTCCCCCCGCGGGGAGGGCAGCGGGCAGGACGGCCCCGGGCTCCCCTCGGGGACCGCGGCCCCCCGAGCATCACCGACCTGTCCGGGCGGAGGGCGCTCCGCGGGCAGCGCTCGGCCGCATCTCACTCTCGCCGATGCAGTTTTTTTAAGCCTTCACGAAGTGTCTATTCCGAGAGCTGAGGAGCTAGAAAGCTAAAGGGGAGAAATGTCGGCTGTAAGCTGTGAAAAATGAGGCGGGTGGAAATGCGAGTAACTCCTAACAAAGGCTCTTTTCTGTTCTCGTGTCGTGAGTGCTGACAGAGGTGGAGTCAGTGAAAGGGAAACTCAAGATCAAATGAGATTCAGTCGGTGCCAACTTGAAGATAGTAAGAATGTGAACCCAGCAGAATAAATAAAGTTAAGACCTTCGTAGTGGTAAAACTGGACAGAGCACTCATAAGTCTCTGTGTCCATGCACACTTCCTTTGAACAAAACAGGGCTGTGGAAAACCTTTGCTTGAAGATGGTATCTGAAGAAAATACCCAGCAAACTGTGAAATTGTCTTCCTCTCTCCTCCCCCCAGCTGCTTTGTAAAATTACTTCCAAAGCAAACCTACAGAAATAAAAAGTGTGTTTGTGCCTTCTAAAACTAACCTGATCTTGCAGTCTTGATAAGTTTTAAATTAAGAAGTAACCAGTTAAGGACAAGATGTCTTTAAGCATCTACAGTTACATTTTGATTTTCTTTTTACTAAAAAGAACAATCCTCACCTGTCTAAATAGCAGAAATGTGCGAATTTATTTCTTCATTGTTAAATTAGCTAGAATCTTGGGGTCTTCCAAAGAGTTTATCCTTAAAAAACCCTACAGTATGGTACTGATTGACAGAAAGCAAATAGTGTGATGAAGCCCACTGTGATGGTGTCCAACCTAATATACATGTAAATGTGAGTGGTCTTTAATGCAACTGAGTAAATCAGGTTGTAACCTCAGGCTGACTCTTTAATAGAACAGTTGGGATATTAATATATGTATTAAAACAACAGCCTAATATGTAATAATTAATAAGCATTAAAAAAAAACACAAGATGGTATTCTTTATCCAAGATAGTGAGTTACAAAGAGATCTTGCAAGGCTGAAGAGCTTTTTAAAATATTTTTCTGTGACCATTATCTAATTTAAACTTAAAGTTCTAAATAAACTTGGTCATTAGTTATTAATGAGAACTTCTGTGCTATCTACAAAAATGTAAGGAAAATCAGTTCTTCCAGTGTATGCTATAAAGCAAAGACTAAGTGACGCAGTTGTCTATTGTAACTAATTAGAAATGTCATTTTTGGTTTGTGCTTACCTTTCATTTGCTCAATGACTGTATTTTTGATTAAGTGTCTTAGATGGCCCCTGCAGGTTCTGCTTGTATATTCATGTACATTTAGTTTGATGTGTTTATCTTTTGAACTTAGAATTTAGCAATAATGTTCTGAATCTGCAGAGTACACCCATTCTTACTTCCCATTGTGCTTGAAGCATTCTACTAGGAAATGTATTTAGTGTGGTAAAAGATTGCAGTGGTTTTTTGTGTGTCACCTCCTGTTGCAGTGTTGAAACTACTTACTTAAATTAAGCCTTCTGAAGCACTCTACGGACATCTCTGCTGTCTGTATGTGTGCATATATTGTGGGAGCAGGTATGGTCTTGATACATCAAAATGCCATGTGCGTCTTTGAAATGCAGCTGATTATTTGCACTGATCATTTGCTGGGATTAGTGCTTAAGGACTTAATTTGTACAGACTTCTAATTCTACCTTAACCACTTGATCTTCTTGGAAATCGAGATGGGGTGGAAAATGGCAGTGCTGACTTGCCTTCATGGCTGGTTTTAGTACTTCTCTCAGAAGAACCTTGCAAAGCTGAATATTTATTAACATTGTCATACCTAGAGGTAAGAGGAAGTTCGTGAAATGATGGTGTGGAAATATGTGAGAGTATTCGGAGTTTTAATGGTCATTTACCCTCTTCCATGTTGTTAACACCTGAACAGAAGCAGTAGACACGCCGTGAATTGCTCACACTCGGCAAGTGATTTGCAAGACTTTGGGCCACTACACTGCAAAATTTTGATGGACCACGTCCTGCAACATTAATCTTTTGGAGGTTAGTTATTTGTATGGAAATAAAGGGATGTTATACAAGATTAAAGCTTGGAAATAAATGGTTCTTATATTGATTAAAAATAATTAGTTGGAGAGTAATAAAAACCTTGCAGGCTCTGTACAGTGCTACCGTATTTTAAGTGAGCAGTTCAACATGAACAACCTCAAGTATGTTCTACAACTAGTTTGTCACAACTAGTTTCTGATCAGCATTAACTTTGGGATCTGTAACACAGATTTTAATTGAAGAAATAGTTTGTTTCTTCTCTAGCATTAGCTAGTGACCTATTTCTAATTGTAACTTCAATACAATTTCCAAGTCAAAATATCTGTGTTTTGCATTTTTTAGGTTCTCTTACAACTCTATCTTGTTTAGCCAATACTGTTTTAAATATTCGCTTGCTCAAAATTTAAAAATTACTGTTCTAATAAGAGTTATGATGCTTAGGATCACTGGTAATGTTGAAAGTTCTGAATGCATGACCTCTGTGTTCTAGTCAAGTGTCTCTTACTGGCTCCTCCAGTATAGTGATAAACTGTTAGCTGTGTTCTTGCTAATGTGACCAATTCTTTTCACACAAAAACCCAATGTAAAGTATGACATAAATAAGGTGCTCAAATGCATCCTCTTTCCTCTTGGGAGAGGAGGAAGAGTAAACATACACTTAAAAAATGTTAATCATCTCAATTAACAGGGGGTGCTCATCAGTGTCGTAGCTCATCAAGTTATAAAGGCCTATTCAGGATGAGTTGGTACCCATAAAGTCAAATGCCTTAAGCTGTAACCAGGTGCCAGCATAAAGTAGTCTTCATTTTCACTACCTTTTGTCTATCCCAGGACCCTATCAACACACAATATGTTTTTCTCATAAGTACAGACCAAGATCATCCTTTTATTGCTAGAAGTTATTTTTTTTTGAAATTCTGCAGTTGTAAAGTGTGGTATTCCCTGCCTACTGAAGTTGATGTGTTTTAATAATAGATGAAGTTACATATTAATTACATTTGCTGATGGAAACCATTGCTGCCTATGTCTCTTCATAAAGTCCACTAAAGAATGCTTCATGGCCATAATCAGAGATGGACAGCTACTTTTGGTATCTGGGCCAAATTCCTTTGGTAGTAATTACAGCTGACTTCCAGGTTCTCATTTTAATATTATTATGAACATATTTTTCACTTCCTGTCATGCAGTTGTTAATCATCTGCATCACAATGGCAGCTGTCCACATTTTCTGCAATTGCAGATTATCTGCCTGGGAAGAAGTTTCTTTACATAGACAGAAACACTATGAAGCACCACACCTCTCAGTGGAGGTTGTTGTCTCTGCTGAATAGAATGTTAGAGGCTCAGAGTTGCCATTTGACTTAAACCAGAAAAGCTATCCACCTTCATCCCTAGGAGGAGTGGTTTTTGGGTCTGTGCCATTGTTGATCTGATACTGAGCACAGACCCACCTAAAGCAGCAAGCCAGACTTTCAGCTACACCCTGTCAGAAATGTAAAACTCTGAGTGTTCTCCCCCTGCAACTTCTGTGTTTGCTTCACAGTTGTTACACTCAGTGCAGCCTGTTTGTGGAAGGAAACTCATTGCTACACACCACTTCTTCGTGAGGTCAGGTGGGGGATTGTGACATCATGAAACGCCTTCACGGACGTTGAAAACTACCAAAATTCTTGAACAAGCAGCTTCAGGGGTTCTTGTGGATAGTCTTTCATTTTTTAAAATATAACCAAGTTAGGGACTGTCTCCATAATCATTAAGTTATGAAACAGCTGAAGATACAAAGCTTTCTTACAGAAGAGGTATAGTTTGTTGGTAACGATATGATTTTGCATGTCAAGCCAGATCCTTTCCTTTGCTTTTCCTGTTTAGGAAAGGCAACTCCTTGATTTTCATCCACAATATAATGATCAGTAGCTGACTTTTGAGAAACAAACAGCAGTACATGCTGGTTTTATGGGAATTGTGTTTGTCTTTCCAGGTCTTGTTTACTGTGTAAACAAGGTAAAGGGAATCAGAATGCCTCTCAATGAGGAGCAGAACAGTGACTCAGATTCTTCACGGCTCTCGGAAAGCACAGCTTCTTCCAGCGACTCGGAATATTCCAGGCAGAGCTTTAACAGTGATTCTTCAAGCAAACCCAGCTCCCCAGCGTGTAAGCCTATTTCAGCCTTACCTGCACTGTGCATGGACCAATAAGGCTAACTTACCTTGTTTCCCTTTGCTATCGTGGGTAGAACCTGGGATTCTGAATCTATATAAGAGTATTAAGAGAGACGCATGGCTTTCTCTCTGCTGTGAAGCAGTGCATCTCCTGTGTGTGGAATACCAGCAGCAGCTTTATCCATGGGGATTTCCCTGTGCACTCCTTCCCTTCAGAAACTGTAAGAAAAGTGTGTCACCATGGTCTTCCTAATCTTGACATTGGTAGCAGCCTCCCACTCAACCAGATATGCCTTTGTGCAAAGGGTGGGTTTCTTCTGTTTGATCCCTGCACTTAAAAATTAATTCTGTAACTTAGAGATTTTGTAGTACCAACAGAAGACACATATTTGCACAAGGAAGATAATTTGAGTAATGGTAAGTAAAACCTTGGTTAAAATGTAGTTTGTACGTGTCTGTAAGCATTTGCAGACCATGCTTACTTCTTACATCCATGTAAATGAAGTCTTACATTAAAACAAGCTAGTTAGTGGAGCTGAAGATGGCAGCTGGCTCTTTGTCTTTCTTTGTTACCAGTCTTCCAAATGCTAAATTAAATTATAGAATTTGAGGATTTAGAAACTTTGGGAATTTGCTCTTGTTTTCCAGTGTAGAGTTTTTGTCATTGCTGATAACTCCTAAAAAATTAGTATAACTTACGTTCCACAGCAGATGAAAGATCTGCTGATCTTGAGTGGGAGAGTTTGCAAGTCAGTAACTTCAGAACCTTTTCAACAGGCAGTATAGCCATCGTGTGCTTGGAATTATAGTGGGCATCTGGTATCTCTTACTGCTCATGCTTTTGGTTGGGTGGCTTTGACAGAACAGTTAGTAGGAAATCTGTGGAATGCAAGATCCTATTTTAAATGGAAAAAAAGATATCTTAGTTCACATGTGGAAATACGAAAATGCTCCCCAAAATGTTTTGAGGGTTGTGTGGTATTTCCCCACAAACACACACACCCCTGATAAGCTGGGAGTTTCCTGAGTTAGTGTTTTAGGAAGATATAAAGACTTGGTAATCTTGGGTTTCTTCTTCAGAGTACTGGAGTCCAATTAGCAAGCAGTAAAATTTCTAGGTTTTAGTATATTCAATTGCACTTATCAGCTATAGATATTTGGCTTGAATTGATCTCGTTTGTTCCAGCAGCAAGTCCTCCCAAGGTTATCACATTTGATGAACTGATGGCAGCTACAAGAAATCTGTCAAACTGGACTCTAGCTCATGAAATTGCTGTAAACGCAAATTTTTGCATAAAACATGAAGACTACCCACAAAACAGGTAAGAGTTTGAACTTTGCAAAAAGCAGTGCTGGTGTTAGAAAGAGAGGAGAAATGAATGGAGCAGTCTAGACTGTGTTTTGGGAGCTGATGATCCAACACCCAAGAAAGATGTGGTTGCAGGGCATAGTATTTGGGGAGGTGTGTTTCCCATCAAGTGATCAGTCCCGTCTGAAACAGTTACAAGGATGAAAGCTAGTTGGGAGTTTTTCCCCCATCTAATCGCCTTACTCCACAGCTTTGCAGGCACAGTGAAACAAATTGTACACAAGGCATTTTGGGATCATTTGGAATCGGAACTGAATGAAGATCCTCCAGAATACGAACATGCTATCAAGCTCTTTGAGGAAATTAAAGAGGTAATGTTCTTCCTTCTCTCTATCGTTTTGTCAGCTTAGCTTTAGGAGTCCCTTAGTTCATTGAAGGGTCTGCTTAGCTTAGCTGAGCCAACACCTTCTAGTTTTCTTGTTATAATATGAAGCCATGATTTTATTCAGAACTGAAAATAGATGTCTATTTGTAATATATTTATATTAACCAGGAATATGGCCACAAACAAACAGTGGCATATCCACTGAACTTTCACTGCACAGTGATCAGCTGAAAGTTCTCTGTTCCTAAAGCTTCACATCTCTACTAGCCTGTTTCCAGAGTCATACTGCGAGCTTAGGGCATGAACAACAATATAAACATGATAGCACCTGCCCACTTAGACTTCATTGTTTGATTATCACACAGGTGAGCATACAAACCTTCAATCCTGGCACAAGACTATGTCTTTCAGAACTTTAAGTTAGTAAATGTTTGTTTTACAGGGTAGCCTCCCAGCTTTTGAATGGGTCTGCTTGATGACTTGCTTTTTGTTTTATTATTTTGAGCATTTTTGCAGAACTGTACTGGTTTGGTTTTTTGTTTGTTTTTTTTTTTTTTTTTCTCCAAACAGTCCTTTTTTCCCCTTAACCTTTGATGTTCAGTCTTAAAATGTCTGGTTATAATCTGTCAGCTCTATACACCTGACATGAATATTAAAATTTCAATCACGTGTGCTTACTAAGTGGTTTGGTTTTTATTGATAAGCTTTTTCTTTTTTTCCCCCCTTCCAATTTAGATTCTTCTTTCATTCCTGACTCCTGGAGCAAACAGGATGCACAATCAAATTTGTGAAGTTCTAGATACGGATCTTATAAGACAACAGGCAGAACACAATGCTGTTGATATTCCTGGGCTAGCTAACTATATCATCAACACTATGGGAAAGTTATGTGCTCCAGTAAGAGACAACGACATAAAACAGTTAAAAGCAACTGACAATATTGTAGAGTTACTGAGGTTGGTATTTAAGTGTGTTTTTTGGAGAAGAAAACTCCTCTCTGAAAGGGTAGCAGACAGTGGAAGACAGGGGTGCTGGGTAAAGGAAGTCTAAAATTGTGTCAGTTTGCATAACACCTGTTCTTGAACTATAGGAGAACTTCCTGAAGCATTAAAGGGGAAGAGCTCTGACACACTGATCAGATTGTGTATCTCACTTTGTAATAAAATGAGTAGGATACCTAGATGAAACCAGGTGGCTTGGAATAGCTAAGCCAACAACTCTTGCAGTAATCTCATTTCAGAAACTCTTTTTTTTTTTTCTGTCTTGTTCATTCTTACAGAATGTAAGCAGCACACTTGTACTGTTTATTCTGGAAGTGTTAATTGCATGCTTCTTCTAGAAGGCCAGACTGTGGATTTAAAAGCTCTTTAGTTAAGATCTTATTACTTGAACTTGGGTAAAACATTTGCATACAGGGCAGAAAACAATGCTCCTGAGGTATGCTGAAATATTAAGACTAAATGGTAGTTGTTCTACTGTGTATATATGTGGGGATCAAAACAACTGGGTCAGAATGATTGTTTCTCTTAATGCAATTAGTGACCAAAAAGTTAAAATTTGTTAATTTAGGCTGAAATATACCAATTCATGTAGTTTTTAAAAAACTTAGTTACAGGGCTGTAGCATTTAGTGATGCTACATTAGTACTGTTCTTTTTAACTTAGGCCAAGCCTTATATATACTACTCCTTCAAGAATTCCAGATGATAGGTAACATATCTTTTACTCTGAAATGCCAGCGAAGGCATTCACTTCTCCAAAATTGAAATTAAAGTGGTTATGTCCATTTGCTTCATGTGTGCTGGTGAAAATCAATAGATTAAATTAAACTGTGAAATTTTAAATTCCTCTTTTCAGACAAATATTCCATGTTTTGGACCTGATGAAAGTGGATATGGCAAATTACACAATTAAAAGCCTTAGACCGTACCTCTGGCATAACTTGGTGGACTATGAAAGAACAAAATTCCAGGAAATTCTTGAAGAAACACCAAGTATGTACCATGCTATATTTAATTGAAACTTTACTTTGAAAATAAAACTATTTAAATACATGGTGTGAAAACTCTAGAAGTTGCAGTTAACTTAGAGGAGAACTTCAATTTTGTGTCTGTATGTAAGTAATGGGAAAATTTTTTTGACTAGCAAATTATCACTGGATGATTGCTTGACTTGCTGTCAAGTTTGTCTGTCTGTAATCTGGGGCGCTTTCAGACAAACTTATATTTGCCAAATTGGTTGGTGTCTGAAAAACAAACAAGTGGTGACTCTTGCTGTCTGGATGCAGAAGCCCTACATAAGATAAGACTTCTCATTTTTATGTGCAACTGTTCTGTTGTTAGTGTGAAGTAAACATGTAAAACCAGTTAGTGTGCCTGAAAGCTGGAAGGGGTAAGATCAATTTTTTAATAAACAAAAGGCAGGCTCTGAACAAAATTTTTTTAGATGATACAAAGTCAACTTGATCCACTATTACAATTTTTGTGTGATTTGGTTAAACAGTGTTCAGAAATACATCCTCCAAGAAGAATAAGTAGGCATACTGACATCTGGAGTAGGGGCTTCTAAAATGGGAGCCCTGAACCACTGGTAGGGCCTGCAGTGTTCACTTATGCAGCCTGAGAAAAACTCTACCAGAAAAAAATAAAATGTTTTAATCTTCCTTCACCTCTGCTTTTCAGTCTTACACCCTATCTGATAAGTGGCCTCTCCAAAAAAGGAAAAACAATCCTTTGGGAACTCAAACTTTGAGACTTCTATTACCTAAAAATCCTGTCTGAAGTCTTAACAATTTGTGGCTGGGTTTGTACAAACCAGGTAGACTTTAAAGGTGATCAATGAAAGAAAGTGAGAGAATTACCATTTCTGAAGACTCAGCTGTCTACTATGTTTGTCTTCAGAAGTTGAATTCTCTTATGTATACAAATATTTTTTTTCTCGAGACAGTGCTTATTTTGATGAAGGCATGCAGTAAATCTGTGCTATTTGCAATGCTTAGGTGCCCTGAATCTCACAACAGAATGGATAAAGGAATCAATAGAAGATGAATTGTCATCTATTTCTGACGAGTCTTCATCATCCCCTGGTGCTGATAGTAATTCAAAACCAATTATTAGTCCTACACTGGTGCTAAACAATGGCTACTTGAAACTGTTACAGTGGGATTATTGCAAAACAATTCCAGAGGTAAGAAATGTATTTGGTGTCTTCAGATTACCAGCTGTATGAAATCATTGGTGTGATACAATAATCCTGCTATTGATGACAGTAAGCGAATACTCTTTTTTACTCCCTAAACTTCTGCACAGTAAATTTGAAATTCAGAGATTATATTCTAGTCCAGTTTCTGAAATTTGAGATTGGCAAATCAACAACCAGAAAAGAACAAGGTAGAGGTTGTTCTCCCTCTTTCGAATCATAGCTTACCAGCTCCACCCTAAGAGCAGTCTTGGCTGTGGTCAAAGGCTGCGCTTGTATTGACAGTACTTGGCTTTCTATATCTTTAAAAGAACTGACTGTACCACCCTGTTTCTTTAACAGCAGCAGGAATTGGTGAGATCGCTCTTTAGAACAGAATCAATAAAAACTTGAGGCCTCTATAAAGTAGGTATTTTCCCTTTCAGTGTGAACTATTGCTTCAAGACTCAGTGTTTAGTTTTTCCCTCCAGTTCCTGATTACTAACCTCTGAAACTTTCTATAAAGCCAGTGTGAAATTTGCCACCAGTCAGGGCTAAAATTTGCTTTTCCAGGGAGGGCCTTAGCTACATGTAGGATGGCTTGGCAGAGAATTTGTTAAATGCATGGGGATGCTCTTGGTGTTCTCAGACAGTGGACTTCCTTACCTTTCTGTGAGCAGTTTTGAGTAAGAGCTACATATAGTTGTCCTCTGGTAGATCGAGCTTGCCATATTATGAAATTGCTACCAACTGCACTTGGATGTTAATGCCCCTGTGCTGCTCAGGATGAACTCCTTGTAACCTGAAATGAACTCCAGCTACATCTTGCTGTGGGGATTACTTATATTCTTGGTATGATCAGCTGGCTTTTTGCCTGGAATGGGTTGTGTATCACTTGCAGAACCTGCTCTGGTGGTTGAATTGGTGGTTGTCAAGCACAGTTGTTTGTTATTATCCACCAGTTACAAATCTTGGCATTTTTTCAAAAGACACCCAAATCCAGAAGACTGTTCTATCTGTAACTTGGTCATTACAATGTCCTCTGGATCCTCTGAGCATTCCATGTTGTGGGCTGAATTGCTGGTTGCAGATTTGTTAGGAGTGATGAAGAATAAGGTGCAATGTCCTCAGTTTCCTCATTACTATTCTTCCCACCACAGGTTTACTTCTGGTACTTGCACATAATGCCGCTTCATACTATACTACATGTTTAGGGTATTTCAGTTGCTGTCTCCTCTGGGTTTGTGTATTTGTAATTAAAAATAGTAGTGCTTCATGACTACATCCTCAATCTGTCCTTTTCCTCCCTCTCTTCCTCCTTATTGCTAAATTAGTATTATTGTTTCAATTCTAGACTCTAATAACAGATGAAGTTCGCCTTCAGGAACTGAGAGAAAAGCTCAATCAATTAAAAGTCATAGCTTGTGTTTCTCTCATAACAAATAACATGGTGGGTGCAGCAATTGTAGATGTGCCTGATTTTGCTGACCAGCTGAAAAGGATCTCTTTTCCTCTTCTTGAAGGCATGAATAAGAAGTAAGGCCTTTTTTTTGCTTCCTTTTTTAACTCTTTTTTTTTTGACAGTAAATAATTGGAAACAATTCTAGTGTCATAGCTAGTGCTTGTTATTAATAGAAATGTTAATCAGTCATACATTCTCTTTATGATACAAGGCTGCTATATGTTAGACGCATGTTTTCAAAGGTAGATTTTAATGAAATCTTAGTCTTGATGTTAATGTACAGATTTTTGAACCTAGTAGTAAAGTTCATTCATACATTCCTAATACTGGAGAGACTGTGGCATTCAATACATGCACTAACTCCTCTTGGGAGTTGCTTCAAACTTGTTGTAGGTAGTTCAAGTTACTTGGCTGCCTATTTCTTTGCCTGCTTGTACAACAGGCAAGTTGGATGTATGCGACTGTCTTTTAAAAGTTTTCCACTCTGTTTTTTTCTCATGAAATGCTATGCACATGGCCCAGAAAAACACCTAGGCACAAGGATAAAGTGAACTGGGGTCACTGCTGCACACTTGAAATTACTTTTCCCATTTGAATCACAGCTAGGTCCTTATTTCATCTTCCACACAGACATTTTCCTGTATATGTAAATTTACATAAATCTGCAGTAAAAGATGAAAACATTTCAAAATTCTCATTGCAGAGACCAGGTTGAAAATAAAAAGGGAAAGGAGACAAGTGGGGGCACTTTACAACCTATGCTACAGAAATTGCATAATTTCATGCTTTTCTGTTTCTTCCAGAAGTTTTGACTTGAAGGAGGCTCTGAATGCTATTGGTGTCCAGATTTGCAGCATAGTGAACAAGTCTCTAAGTGAAAGAGGTCTTCCCACTCTTAGTGAAGAAATGCAGAGTAATTTAATGGGTCAAATTGCTCATGTTGTTGAGAAGAATAATCCTGTCTGTTCCTTGATTGGTCAGTAAGATACTACCTAATTGTCATATTCTATGTGTCTGTTTATAAACTTATTCCCAGCAAGTTTAATCAGCTGTCTAATTATTTTCGAAAACTATTTTCCTACTGCAGTAGAACACTGGCTCAACTAAGAGTAAGGTTGTGGTGTTTACTTAGAGATGGTGTTCTTGGTATGCTGCAGAGTGTGGTTAGTCACAGCTAGAAATAATTGTAAAAGTGCATGTAGGGACACGCCTAGGCAGCCTAGTATTTTGAGAAGAATTTAGATAAAATGAGTATTGTTTAGTCTTCTTTCTATCCATTCTGGGTTTAAACCTACCGAGTTTTTTTCCTTCCTTTGAATTTACTTCATATTAGTTAATGTAACTTGTTGCAGTAGGTTTATGCTGTGTCCACCTTGCAGTAGCTAAACTGAAGAATCTTACAGTATTGTTTCCCACCCCAGAACAATCTTGGGAAAGAGTTGTTGATTACATTGTTGGATTTTTTGCTGTGCTGATGTGCAGGGTACTTACAAAGTGACATGTGTTCTGAGCATACTTTATATTCCATTTCAGACAAACGAATCCAGCTCTTCATGAGAAGCTTGCTTGCTCTTCCAAGTTTTCAGAAGTGTATGCCTACTATGCCAGGAGGCCTTTCTGTGATTCAGACAGAGATAGAGTTCCTGGGATCTCAGTATGCAAGCATTGTAAACTTCAATAAAAAAGTGTATGGACCATTCTATGCAAACATACTTAGAAAACTGCTTTTTCCTGAGGCAGCAATGGAGAAAACAGAAGCAGAAACATCTAGCAATTAAAAAATGTACCCTTTTTTTAATCTTCCAAGATAGTGGGGAAGTCACATCTCTAAGAACAGCCTACTCCAGTGACTGTTGATGAGGAAAGGTCTTGTAAAATGTATACAGATAGTTTCTGAAATTCACTGTAAAGAAATTAATGTCAAGGTCATATATATATATTTTAATAGAAAAATATTTGTTTAATGGATTGTCATTTATAATAGCCAGTGAATTATTAATTTCCATAGCAAGCATTTATTATGACTTGCAGTAGGAAAGATCTGGCAATGTACTTGATGTTTTGCCACCATCAAAACAATGTTATTTTTCAACTCAAATATATTTACATATAGCAATGCATATTAGGAAATGACAAAACAACTGTAGATAAAATGTACTATGCTTACATTGTATTTTTGTAGAGTAACATCTCAGACAGCAATTACGTTTCTGAGAATACTTTGAAGAAGACAGTATAGCATAACTGCTTTAGTAACCAAACCTAGGTTCATACTAGGCCAAGTTGAGGTCCTCGTGCAATTACTGGACCCAGAATTTTGCCTCTGTTACATTAAGGAAAGCCAGTGTTACAATCTGTTTGCAGGATTGCAGTTACAGAAGCAGCATTCACCACTTCAAGTAGGAATCATTCGGAACTTCTCAACTCTTATATTAACGATAAACACCTGAGAAACATGATGGTGGGGGTGGAGTAAATTTCTGTATATGAAGTGTTTATAAGCATCTTGTTTAATCAGTGGAGGTCATACAGATCTATAATATGTGTATGTATTGATCTTTCATCTTAACAGATGGGTGTTAAGTATTTTTAAGTTAGGTCTTCCTAACCTTTATCCCCAAAAGCACTTAACCCTGACCTTACAGTGTACCACAGAAGAGCTGCCCCTTTCATGCCCTTGTCTAATAGAATGTAAAATTTTCACAAGATATTCTTAGGCCTGAAAGCAAGAACTTGAGTAATGAGTAATTTCTGAAAATATTATTAGATTCACTTTTTTTATGGAGTGTGTGAGAAATGCTCCTGTTTTCCTCCAATTTCTTTGGACTGGGCCCCAATACTTAGTGCCTACTTAAGGCATTGGGAATCTTGCATACAGAAAATGAATAGAATTGAAATGGAGAAACGTGGAAGTGAAATTCTTTAAGTTTACATAGACTTTATCTTGCATATTTCAGATTACTGGGATTATTAGATAGTGCTGGAATACATATTATAGACATGTTCTTGTCTATGAAATTGAATAATTTACTTGAAAATTATATTTTACTATATTACCATATAATACTCATTTTAAGATGTCATATATAGAAAACCTCAGTGTGGTACAAGTTAGAGCTTGTTTTTAATGTTTTATATTGCAATCTATTTTTATGAAGAGACAAAAATAACCTGTAAAAGCGTAATGTGTCACACAAATTGTTTATGTACATTACAGTTTCTATTATAAAGGTCTAAAAAAACCTGGGCATTATTAGCACTGTGGTTTTGTAGTCCATTTCTACAAGAATGTGTACCCTTTATAGCAAAGGAAATTACTTCTATTCAGTTGTTCTTCAGTGTCCAAGGACTTTGTTCACAAGTAAATGTTAAGGAAAACTTTCTTCAAAATGCCTTTTTAGAGAAAGTTCTCTAGTGCACTTCTGTTCTATCACTTGTGAACACATTGCACAAAATAAAGATGAATACATATTTTAAAGGGAATTGTTTCCTGGAAAACCTAGAAAAAAGGAACTCTTAGACTATCATAACTGTGCCACTAGGTAAGCCAGGCTTGCTCAGATGAATATGAAATTTTGGTAGGCAATTCAAAATAATTAAGAGAAGAATGCATTTCAAAAGCAGGTAGAAGGAATGAAGCTTAGTGATTTGCTACAATATTAGAAGTTACCTACGTGATTTTGAACTTCGGCCAAAGGAGGATTTTATGAACATTTGAAGGTGTTAATATGATTATGAACTTTTAATTATAATATTTTATATCCATTCTATTGTACAAATAAACACAAACTTTAGCTCTTTAATGAGCTGGGAAAACTGTCATAATAGTTTTTACTAGTAAATACTCAAAACATAGCATTTTTTGGAGGGGTTTGGTGATTAAAGTGACTTGCAAAGGGCATTTTATAGCATGGCCTGTGTTTCAAGTGATTGTTTCATGTGTTTTAATTTAATGTTTCCAACGGGGACATCGCATCTGTTTAATGTCATGTGTTGCATGCTGTTTATGCTACTGTGGCTGAAATGCACTTGCCTCTACTCAGAAGTTGTCCTTGTGAAACAAGATGCTATTCTGTAGCAGCTTTATTAAAAAACAAGTTTTGAGGATATGTATGCATTAAATTTTGTTTGTGATACTAGCAGTGGTGAAAAGTCATTTATACAAACGTTATTAAATGCAACAAATTGTTGAATGCCAAAGATAAATGACTTCACTATTATTCTGTTGTGACTGTTTTTCTGTTACTTCTCAGAAGCAGCTCCTTTGGTAGAGCACTGAGTTTAACCCAGCTGTACAAATAATATTGAAGACAGTTGTCTGCTTAAATCTGACTACTTGGATGAAGGAAGTATTGGGTTTACACGGCAGAGTTAGAGGAGCAGTGGACTGCCGGGCTGGCTGGCTTCTCTGAGAAGCTGCTCCAAGCTTCTCCCTGTGCCCAACAGAGGCCTTGCATGGATTAAACATGGATTGCCATGTATGAAACAAATTCTCCACTGACTGTTCCTTAGGCAGGAAACCAAATGGAAGGAGTCTGAAATGTTACTCCTCTTCAGGGTAGGGGCCTTAGTGTCCAGGTTGGGTGGAGCTCAGACCCAACCCTGTCAGTGTTACTCATGTGGAACCCGAGTCACAGCAGACGTCTGTATGCACTGTTTTCACACTGCGCTTTTAGAACTTACTCACCAATTATTATATTTATATATATATGTATCTCAAAACCTTACTGCCACAGGAATATGCAGAGATCACTAGTGCTTCTTGTTTCATCTTGAACTGGGGCAGATGAGTAGCTCCCCATTTGACTGCGATTTTGGTTCTGTATAGCACCGAGCCTTGTACAAGAGAACGAGTAGGTTTGTCGGTGATTCAGCTACAGCAGTCAACAACAATAACAACAACGCTAAAAGCTGTTTCCCCGCGTTGCTTTACATGCTAAAAACTGCAGGAAAGCCGTTTAAAGCCCAACTGCTCCGTGTCCCCGCGGGGATTCAGGGGAGACCTCGGGGCGCTGCCAGCCCCGCAGCGCCTCAGCGGGGCGGGCGGCAGGGCGCCGTGAGGGGCGGGCCGCGGGGCAGAGGGAGGGGCGGGGCAGAGGAGGGGCGGGCTGCGGGGTACCGTGAGGGGCGTGCCGCGGAGCAGAGGGAGGAGCGGCTGCTGGGGCCTGGCCGCGCTCAGCGCTCGGAGGTGCCCGGGCTGCGCGGGGCCGGAACCTTCGGGGCCGCGCCGGAGCGCTGGGGACGCGGTGCGCCGGTGGCCATGGAGGCGCTGGGGCTCGGTGCGCTCACCCCGGAGCAGGCGGCGGCCCCGGTCAACACGGTGGAGGTCAGCGGGGCAAGGGGCAAGCGGCCGGGTGCGCCTCGGGCTCTCCCGGAGCGTGGCCGGGCTGAGCTGAGCTGGGCTGGGGTGGAAGGAGTCTTGTGGCGGCGCACACGTGGAGTGCCCGCTGCCCGTGCTGCGCCGCTGGGTGTGTGTGGGTGTTTGGTGGGGTTTGCTCGGTCCGAGCTGTTCCTGGGCAGCCCCTCATGAACCCGGGCCCGTCCCCAGTCTGCCCGAGCTGTGTCCCGCACGCAGAGTCCCGCGGCCCGGGGTGGCAGGGCCCTCGCAGCTCGTGTCCTTCCATCCCCCTGCCCTGGCACGGACACCTTCCGCTGCACCGGTCTCCTTCCAGCCTGGCCTTGAAATATTTACTTAAAATTAAAACCATTACTCTCATCCTTAGGTCATCAGTTTAATTGCATTACTGTTTAACAGATGAAAGCCCTTTTTTTAGACATAACATTTACATTATAAAAACCTGAAATCAAGCACACTTCATCTTTCCAGACTGTAAACGCTACTGCATATCAACTACAAGGGACCAGTGGTAAAAATCACACCATTCTGCACGTCTCTTTTTACTGCATTAGCTTTGCCATTATTGGATGTTAAATTGGGATCACAAGCAAGATTAGTAGATTAACAAACAGCAGCAGTGAAGGCTGAAAGCCAGGAGCACCATCACCATTTCTGTGGGTAGAAGAAAGCTAACAACTTTCTACAGGTGTTTTTGGTTATTAATTTTGTGGTATTTTAAAATGGTAGTAGATGGAGAAGCATATGAGGGTTGGGAACACTCCTCCTAAATAAAAGGATTTTGTCTCCAGCCAAAGATATATGCAAGTTTTTGCACTGCCGTGGTGGGGAAAACGTGGGGCTGACATAGAGATGTTCCCTGTGCTCATTGATGATTAGAGATGGGAGAAAGTTTGTAGGAACCTTGATACACTTAGCACTTGTCAGTCTTTTGCTAAATCTCTGTAGGATTTAGGTTCCTGGTAAGTGTTGCATCTTCTCCGAGGACTGAGATTCTTGCATGTATTTTGCAAAGTAAATGTTGTAGGAAATCTTCCCTTTCTACAAATATAATTTACAGTGTTAACAGAACAAAACCAAAAAAACATTAGTTGGTCTTAAATGAGGACATGGTGTTAAGGAGTTTTCTCAGAAAACTATATTTTCACAGAAGTTACTCTCAGGAAAGGCCGAGTGCAATTGCATCCCAAGTAAATACTGCATGTATGGTTTACTGAGATGGTCCAGATAATTTTTATCCACCTCTGTTGGCTTTAGACAGTTGTTTCTTGGTTGTTTTTTTCCTAAATGGATCTGATTTTAAACAATGTTACTGTTCAAAAAACAGCAATAGAAATAAAACATGTAGACTGAGGCTCAGGCATGTTAGATATTTGGCTACTCCTTGGAAAGATATCTCAAACTGTTTTTGTTTTCAGGAAAAATGGAGGCTTCTTCCAGCATTTCTAAAGGTTAGTGCTACACACTCATTTCATGGTGTGAATATTTAATCTCCTTTCTAACTTTACATTCCCTTCTTCTGGCTTTTACTGTTTCCCAGAATACCTGTCCTCACTTTTCTGTGGATTTTGCCTTTTGTTTTAGTTCCTTGCAGTTATCAGTAGACTTGTTCCATAGATTGTTTTCTTGATTAATTTAGAGATTATTTTGTGGAGATATCCTCCTAGAGGTTTGCATTTTGGTGTGGTTATTCTCAGTCCATACTGTATATATGTAATGTTTCCAGATTATTTTCCTGTTTTACTGGCTCTCAGAGATGCTATCCATGCTTTTTATATGACAGTTCCAGTGTAAACTTGGAAATGTAGCGTAGAACCAGAGTGAGCATCCAGCCACTTCCCAGAAGTTTGTCAGCTGAAAGAATTTAGCATAGTTATCCAAACCCAGTTATAAATGCTTATATCTTAATTTCTGTCTTATGTGATTAACGTTACTGAAGCTGATTTTATTTGCTGTGTGCATTATTTTTCAGGTGAAAGGACTGGTGAAGCAGCACATAGACTCATTCAACTATTTCATCAATGTTGAGGTAGGCTTTCCTGGGTGGGGGAGAGTGGCTCTTAATACTCAGAAAAGGCCATGGTTCCATTTTGTTCTTCTTCTCCTCCAGATAAAGAAAATCATGAAGGCCAATGAAAAAGTGACAAGTGATGCCGACCCAATGTGGTACCTGAAGTAAGCCTGAGATGATTTCCGTATCCATAGCAGCATGAGTACTGTCTCAGGGGTTTGTTATCCACTATAAAGTGTTTATAAGCACTTCTATAGGTATAAATCAAGAGGGTGTTTTTCATGACTTATCTCTTACTTTATGCAATGAAATATGGGAAAATTTAAAGGTTTACTGCACATGCAGGCTAAATTTGAACTAATTTGACCACAACTCAAATACAGTGAGTCACTTTAGGAAGAATCATTGCTCATTATTGTCAATTTGTCAAATTGTGTTCATCAAAGTAATTTAATTTTTCAGTGTATGTAAAATTTTGCTTCCTTCAGATTCTTTGAAAAATATTTGCCTCATTGCTCATTTTGAAACTGTATTACAGGTACCTCAATATCTATGTGGGTACTCCAGATGTGGAAGAAAGCTTCAATGTGACACGACCTGTATCACCTCATGAGGTATTAATATTTGCAACTGTCTTGTTGAGTTTTTTGTCTTGGAAAATAGCTGCATGTAATTTTGAGTACATGTGTGTTACATTAGGTAGTGCATTGCATTCCACCATCACTGTAAAAGGAAGCTTCAGAGACTTAAACATCATTACATACATCTTTTTAATTTCATTCTGAATTGTTGAGGGTTTTTTTTTTTTTGCTGTATTCAGTATTTTGTGTTAGGTGAATTTGAATGGGTTTCTATGAAAGTAGTGAAAAGTACTTCTCTTGCTTCATCTTGTGCCTCTCCTCATGACAGAGCTGAAGTCCTCGTGCCATAATGTAGGGTTTTTTGATATTCTCATTTACTTATTTTTAATATTAGCCTTGCTACTGTCTGCACCATAGGTCACTTCAGTCTCTGTTTCCTTTCCAGTCTTTGAGAACTCGTATCTGATTTTTTGCTCTTATTTTTAAAGTCTGATTCGTAAAGCAAACGTGGGAATTTTAAGCAGAAACAGATGTAAATTGTTAAAATTACAAGAAGCTACAGAAGAACATTATCCTTCTGGGGGTATATTTTATTTCATTGCAGTGCTGTAGGCATGTAGGTTACCAGATGGGTTGTGTACTTCTGGAATAAAGATGTGTGTAGGAGGACATGGTGCTGTGACTGAAATCAGAAAGTCTCCTGGTTTTGACCAACAGGATACAAAGTAGCTCCTGTATGTATGAGAAAGCCATAAGCTAACATAAGGTTTGAACTTCTTAGGATTGCTTTCAAGTATCTAGAGACGTTCAGTTCTCTTCAAAGTGCTCAGGAACACAGTATTTCTCTCCTGCTACTGTGCTTTGAGATTTATAGCACTGCAACAGAGGTAGTGACCACTTCTTTTTGGTCTCTGGAGGGAGAACTGAGCTTGGAACTTGCACTTATTTACCTCCATGCAGCCTGTTGTCAACCTCATAACTCAGTTCATGTATCAGATGCTTTTTCCTTGCTCTGTCCACTTGATACTTGAAATGTTTTTTGGCATCTAATCTAGACTATAATGAAATAGATTCTGTGCTTTGGAGAAATTCTGTAAGAATCAGCTGTCTAGTGGCTGCCACTTGGGCATAGTCACTTTCTGTCTGCAGTGACCTCACTCTAATATCTTTTGGTTTGATGGAAAGCTTTAGAATAAAGCCAGGAACTCAGCCAGGTGTAATATATGATTGTTGCTGCATCTCACAAATATGTAGTTAATGTTCTGTCAATAA